GCCCTCCCCGGGTGACTCAGGGGTTATAAATACAAGCATGAGCAATCACATCATCCACTCGGGACTGCGGGGATGGCCGCCGCGCTCCTCCCCTTCTCCCTCCCCGCGGTGCGGGGCGGATGCGTGTCCCCTCCCCGCCCCCCCGTGTGAGGCCTGACTGCCCCTGCGTGTCCAAAAAGGGAGTAACGAGCCCGACCTATTCTTAAAGTGGCCCCCAAAAAAAGAAAAACCCACAATATCAACTGTTAATTCCCGTGGCCCATCCCTCTTGCTGTCCCAGCTGGATTTTCCCGTTTATAACCATCTGGGTTAAATAACAAGTGGGGCAGAAAGTGTGTCATGCGACACACGACAGACCAGACGTGCACCACGAAGAGCAGGCAGTTAAAGGGAACCCTCTGCAAACGAGCCAAAATCGCCGGTTTTAGCCCAGTTACCCAGCTGATACATACTTGGAAAATCACAGAATCTTCTAGGTTGGAAGGGACCTTAAAGATCATCTTGTCCAACCATCAACCTAATTTTGACAAAAATAAACACCCACACCACAAACAAAAAGCAACATCATCACTAAACCATACCTCCCAGCACTACATCAACCCGTCTTTTGAACACCTCCAGGGATGGTGCCTCAACCACCTCCCTGGGCAGCCCATTCCAATGGCTGAGAACCCTTTCAGTGAAAAAATTTTTCCTAATATCTGACTTGAGAAAAGAGACCGACCCCCACCTCTCTACACCCTCCTTTCAGGGAGTTGTAGAGAGCAATGAGGTCTCCCCTCAGCCTCCTCTTCTCCAGGCTGAACACCCCCAGCTCCCTCAGCCTCTCCTCATAAGACTTGTGCTCCAGACCCCTCACCATCTTTGTCACCCTTCTCTGGACCCGCTCCAGCACCTCAATGTCTTTTTTATGGTAGGGAGCCCAAAAGTGGACACAGTACTCGAGGTGAGGCCTCACCAGTGCCCAGTACAGGGGGATGATCACCTCCCAAGTCCTGCTCACCACACTGTTCCTGATCCAGGCCAGGATGCTGTTGGCCTTCTTGGCCACCTGGGCACACTGCTGGCTCATCTTCAGCTGACAGGCGACCAACACAATCTTGGGGTTGTTCTAGCAGTTGGGCTGGCAATTAGTTACCGACCAGCAAAAGGGAAGATATTAATGAATGTATCAGCGTGCTCAAATCAGCACAGAAATTAATTGCTGCTGCCCTGGGGAGAGTGAATGGGAGTGCATGGAGTCATTATTTCTCTTGCACGCCTCATCCAGAGGGAGCGGAACTTTCCCAAGGATGACCTTTTATTTGTGGGGTGGTTTTAGTCCCAGTGGGACCACAGACCGCCTTGGGTGCGTGAGGTGACTCTCCAAGGCCACACCAGTGGCAGAAGGTGAGAGGACCCAGCCCTGTGCCAGTGTGTTGACTCTCTTGACTGCACAAGGGTAGGAAAAGACTGTTTTGCTGGTGTTCAGCTTCTACAGAGTGGTTAGAACGGGAAAAAATAAATCCAGGCTATAGCAGAGTCAGCTTGAACCTTGCAGAAATTGAAGAGCAAGCCAAATGATCCATGATGATAAAAACGGAATCAGGGGAAAATAAAGCCCTGGTCTTTTTCTAGAAATACTCCTGTAAATGGAGTCCCTTGACAGGACAGTTTTAAATTGGAAGAGGGGAGATTTAGGTTAGATACCAGGAAGAAATTCTTTGCTGTGAGGGTGGTGAGACACTGGAACAGGTTGCCCAGAGAAGCTGTGGCTGCCCCATCCCTGGAGGGGTTCAAGGCCAGGCTGGATGGGGCTTGGAGCAACCTGGTCTGGTGGGAGGTGTCCCTGCCCAGGGCAGGGGGGTTGGAACTCAATGATCTTCAAGGTCCCTTCCAACCCAAACCATTCTATGATTCTATGAAATCCTTTAGGCTGCCCCAAGAAACTCATCGAACTGGTGGCTTTATCCCTATGTAATGATGTGAACACTTGAGTTGCCTGCAGGGTGGGACTCACGCCGACATAGAGGGTAGGAAGGGGCTATTACAAACCCTCACAGCAGGTCCAGGGTGTTCTCTTCTGCCCTTTCTTTCACATACTGCCCACCACCCACCTTTGCACTCAATGGCATACTGCTTTTTGAACTTGAGGGCCTTTGGGTAATACTCCTTCTCCAAGCCCTGGTCCACTGTGATCTCTCATCTTGAACCGAAGCAGGAGAGAGGTGGAGGAAATACTTCTGTGTAGTTGCAGATATGCTCAGGTGGTGGCAGGTCCTAGATAATCCTGCCTGGCACAGGACTAGAGATGGGCACAGGATAGAAATCTCACTACATTTATAATGTGGGCATGTACAGCTGAGCCTGTCACTTTAAACCACCATTGTGGTCAATGGCAACAAATAGGCAGCGGGATTTTTCTCACCTGAACCAGGACGTCTACTTTTGGATGGCCAAAGCGTGCCCCCAAGAACTCTGGCAGGTGCTTTAGTGTCTAAGCAGCAGCACCACACTACTCAGTATGGTGAGTGTGGCCTCCTGCACGGCCTGAATCTCTTATGGATGGAGCAGCCCACGCTGAGAACGGCGTAGACTGGTGTGTTCCAGCCTTCACTACTCCATGTGCATAATGGATGTGCAGGAAGCATCATCGACTTGTTTCTGTCTGGCCTAGGACACGTGAACATTTCCCCATGGTTGCAGGTAGTGTCAGAGGATCTCAGAAGGGTGAGTCAGAAGAAGGGCATTATTTTTGTGCGGTGCCATAGCTAACAGCCAAGACTGAAGGAATCTGAGGGCTTAGACCTGGGGAAAACTCTGGTTTCATGGGATTGGGCCTTTCTAGAATACCTGCGTTTGGCCTCCTTGCTTCCTAACTGCCTGCAGCACAGCAGGTGCTGAAGTGTGTTGAAGGTCTGATGTAGATGATGAAGATGATGATGCTGTAGAAGGTAGTGATGTAGATGCCTCTTCCTCAAGGACAAAAGGGAGGAAATTTTCCAGCTTGTTTCACCCAGGCCACCAACACATTCTGGCAATTTTAACAGACTGATCTGTTCTCCCTGTAAGTCGCTGTTTCCATCTCCGGGACCATACACAGGGCAGCTGAGCTAGCATCTAGCTTGAATGAGAGAGGAGTTTCAGGGTTCTTCCCTGGTCTGATGCAAAGACACGGCCTGTGAGGAGCACATTGCTAGGCGGCTTCTCCTCCCCCAACAAATCCCACGTGAGGATCACAAATCTCCTTACTGAACTCTTCCTGCCCTGGTGATGCAGCCCTGGGCGTGCAGCCACAAGCCTCGCTCCTCCCACATCCCTCCTTCCTCCCCATCAGGCGCTGGAGTCCCGGCCCTCTCCTCCAGCTCAATAATAACAATAATGTCACTGGCACATCAGCAGGCAGGAAGATGATACATGCAGAAGCAGCGACAAACAGCTAATCATCTGACTTAGAGTTCTTATTAAAATGTCAACCCATGGACATGTGACAAACGCCACGTTCTGGGTCCCCGTGTGCAAGAGGGAGGAACTGGAAAGGGGGTTGGCTATTTTTCCTACCTTTGGGGCTGGCAGCACAAAGTGGTCCTCTGTAGAGCGCCAAAACAATATACACTTTCTTAACCTGGAGTGCTAGAACAGCTCTGAGCACGTAGTGTGTTGCTGTGTCTGCAGCTCACGTAGGCAGAGGTTCACTCTAAAAGGGATCCCCCAAGCATTGCCAATGCTGTCCCCACAGAAGCAGGAGATAAAAATATTTGCACAGGATCTGGGGACAAGGGTGCGCAGCCCGTGCTGTCCCACACGGCGCTCCAGGGTCACGGCTAGGAGCTCTGCAGTGCACTGCTGAGAAGTGAAGCTTGCTTTGGGACCTAACTGACTAAAATTCCGTGAATTAAGGATAAAAATATCCACTATTTGCCCTGTGTTTCTTGGAGATGTCATCTAGGTGGATGGATGTCTCTTGGCAACCCACTGGAGCTACTGTTCAGCTGCCTCTCACTCTGGAGTCCCTTGGATATTTCCTCCATTAGTACTTCCTCTTGAGCAATTATTCCATTTGTGCCTCCACAGGCTGATTTTTATTTATTTTTTAATCTTTAGTGTGGATTCAGCATGTCAAAGCCTCCCTTGCCGGAAAACTACTTTGTAGCCTAAATGGTGATTAAACCACAGAGGGTGTACCTGAAGTCACCTGCAATTCTGCTCTGTCTGATGTCCATCCATGGCTGAGACCTTGCCTGGTGTCTCTCCTGCACCACTCGAGACTGGTCACCAGTTTCACTTGACACTGGGTCTACAGCAGCCTCAGATCCAGTACGGGCACATTGCCCCTGGGTGAGGGCACAGGGTTAGTCACTCCCAACAAACAATGGCTAATTGTGTAGATGTTTTCCTTTCCTCTAGGAAATGCCTCTGTATTGTTTATGCCCAACTGCCCTCTCACTGCTCTATTTTCTACAGCTTCTTATTTTTTTACAAAAAAAGTGGCTCATGCCTCCCAAACCAATTGTATGGCCCGGCCTCAGCTCAAGTTGCTTAAATGGATAGAAATGATGTCACAAGGAGATTAAGGAATGAACGTACCTTGTCGCCTGGTGAAAAGCAGCAGTAAAGGACAAAACCCCAGATCTGAATAGCGCAAGTCTGAGATCCCTTTGTTCCAGCCAATGATTTGGAGTGGCCTGTTGGGGACGGGGATCATTGTTACTTACAGTCCTCTGAAAACAAAGGAGCAACACAACAGTGGGGTGTTTCTGGAGACCAATCTTTCTCAAGTACGGCATGCTCTAGGGGAACCTAAGGATGGTGGGGACAACTCCTTTGCAGCACCTGGTGTTGTTTCCCTCTCCAGGTTCCAGCCCAAATTACCCCATGTGCAGGCTAAAGGTAGTCAGTGCAGACTCGTTGCTCTTTCTCCTTTGGTATCACTTCTTGTATGCTTGCTCAGGTTCCACTCTTTTCCCCGTGTTTGGTCAAGGGTTGAGTGAATAAGCAAGCCAAAGCTGAGCCATGGGTCAGTGACTTGGTTATGATGTAGTTATCTTCAGTACTTTGTGCATCATTTTCCCCACCTACAAATGGAATACTGAGGCTTGACAACGTGGTTAAAGTCTGTGAAGTGCATGGGGATCTTTGAATGCAGATACTTAATTATTCATAACTACAGAGAATTGCTTTTGATGGTGTTCTTTCCTGTGTTGTGCAGGATATTGGAGTGCTCTGCAGAAAATGGGCACTCCAGTGCTGCCAACTTGACACCGGGGGCTGTACACAGCAGCTGAACAAACTCTAAAAATATTTAATGATTAACAGAAACCTTTTATTTATTTCCCAATGTATGTTATGCTGTATTTGTGAGTAGTTCATGCCCCTATTGCTCTTAAGCGTTGGGAAAACAGTTGCTACTTGACTATTTGTTTAAATGTTGCATGGAAGTATTAGTTCTTTATGTTTAATAATCTTTAATATTTTTACTTCATTTTCAATCTAAAAGCATAGAAGATTTCAAAGTGGTTTTTGTTTGATATAATACAACACACAAAGTATATTCAAAGTCCAGACTCAACAGTGAGATGGAACCACCACTAATGGAGTAAAAAACCCCAGCTGAATAACAGCAAATTGCAGTATCAAGGAGCAGCTTACCTCTGGAAATAAATAAACTTGCAATATTTTATGGGATATGGTCCTACTTTTTCACTAGGTACTTGTGGTCTTTATTGACTCTGTCCTCATTTTTGGGTTGTTTGTGAGGAGAGAACGTCTTTGAATCGTAAGAGATCTGGGCGTGAGAGTGAAGTGTTTCCAGTCACGGGCACCTGGTCTTTGCTTTCTTACACAACCTTGTATGGTTAGACAGAGCCTATGTAGATCTGCTGCTGGTTTTTGTTTGTTTTAATCTGGTGTTTCGTCATGTCTTATGGGCTCCGAGTGGCTGATCCTTTGCAAGAGTTATAAATATTTTCTCTGAAATTGCTCATCCAAAGTCAGTTTAGTAGGAAACAATCCCTGAGCAAGTGAAGTTATATCCGTCACTATCATCACTTGAAATGTTTTGGATGTCTTGCCAGTAAAAACACCTTGAAGGTACCTGCTCTAGCACCTAAAACCCAAGAGCCAAACAAGCAAAGAAGGATGTGAGCAGAGGGGAAGGAACAGGTGAGTTAGACAATATTGACCCTGATAAAGGGAAATCACGCTGAAATCAGCAGGTAATACCCAGGTTTGGGTACAGGTGACCTGTAACTTTTTCCCTTGAAACCAAGAAAGGAGATAGTAGAGGTGATTTGATGTAGAGGAGGGGAAAATGAAGAATTTTAAAACTTCCTTTTTTATTGCGCATCTTATCAAGCATTTACGGTGAAATTCTTATTGCAAATTATTAAAAATTGCGCATTCCTGCTTTGCTGGGCAGGATTGCTGCCCTGTGGAGCAGGGCTGCCATCTCCTGTTAAATGCCCGCACAGCTCGGAGTTTGTACGCAGAAGGAAAGGGGTGGAAGCAACGAAGGAATGGTATGTTCCCCCTGGAAACGATTGGGAAGGCTTCCAGGAAGTTTCTGGGCTTGATAGCACTTGACGCATGTTCAGCAGATCCAAATGTCTCTGCTTGCTTCAGGCTTTTACTGGGGAGTAAACAAGAGCCTTCCAGGAAACGTTCTGCAGCTTGGTGAAGTCAGGCTTGAAATGGACTTCGGGGAGCAGCTGATGAAATAGGTCTCTAGTAGGTGTTCCACAAACACTTGTTATTATTATTTCAAGCGTGCTGTATAGCAGAAGACACATAATCTTACATGTCATTTACTTATTTATTCCATTCCAGTTTATCACTCATTAATAGTACAGTTAGGTAATGACTAGGCAATTCAGGAAGAAGTTTGTGACCTAGGAAATCAAGACCCTCATTACATTCCCTTGGATACAAAATTCCTGTGACTGGACAAGATCTGCCAAAATGCCTTTGATGCTATCAAAGGTATTTCAGTCATTCAGTTCTGCTTTATGCTATCCCTGAAACTGTCTCATCAACCTTCTCTAAAATTCTCCATGGCTATTATCTCAACAACAGTTACGTTCCTCAGTATATTCAGGGACCTGCTTCTTGTTCTCCTTATCCACAAAACAACTGCATTTTCTGTATTTGCACAGGAGTGTTGTGAAGATCAGCGTATTAAGGACAGTGAGGATTTGGGTACTCCAACAGGAAGGGCCATGCAGCCATTTCAGAAAGATGTGATATCCGTGACCTGTGCATTCATATCAACATTAACATATGCATACAATTAATTCATGGCTGCTTATGATCTGATACTGGATATTCTTCTGCTTTAATGTTTTCAGTTGCTGAAGCTGGGGTAGAGACAATACGGATGTTATTCAACAGCTACCATCTCATGAGTCCAAGAAAACATTTAACAGATGGTCCATAGCTGTATTCATCCAGACAGCTTGATTAATATTTCCAGATGATTCAACATATTCAGGTAAGACTCACAAATTATTTCTATTCGAGAAATGGCTTAAATATTTTGAGTGGTCTTATTTAATGTGATCTGCTTTTCACAGCAACATTTGCAATAATTATTAAATTACACAATATGAACGCAACTAAGACATGATTGAACTTTAATTTGGGAGTAGTGTTCCTGCTCCTCCCCTTGTTTGATCTGTTATCGCGCATAGATTTTTAAAATTCAAATGTAAGATCTTGTGACTACTATTTCAGAATTGCTATGTATCATGTTCATAACCAGTCTGTATTCATTCTATATGTCCTGTAGGGCGCCCAGGGCACTATACTGCACATACTACCAAATGGATGCTACCTTTTGTTTACATGCAGATTGTGTTCCTACACAGCTCCTTTTCTTTTTTCTTTTTAATTTACTACAAATGGTTGGCACTTTCTGGAGGTTTGTTGTTCTTATTAGGTATTAAGACCTTCTCCCATGTCATTCTTTCTCCTGTTGTGAAAACCCCTCTGCCATACCCAGGGAACTTAGGCTGGAGGCAAGCAGCATGAGAGAGGATCTGCAACCTCCCTGCAGGTCACCAGCCTGCAAAGTGACTCAGCACCCTGATGCTGCTCCCTGCTTGTCTGTGCAAAGGGTGATGTGTGTAATAAAAGGACACGGGGAAGGCCAACTGTTGATTATCTCAAGGAGGTGCCGAAAGGAGCCATGAAAATATGCTGGACCTAAAAACTATTTTAGTCTCTTTTTCTTCCCTTTCTCATTAGACTGAGGAGGTTGATCTGATACTCCTAACTCTGTTCAGAAGCATTAGTCTCTGCACGTAACTATCCTGTATTATTTGCCCTTCAGTGAAAACAGCCACTAGTGTCCTGGGAGGGCTGGCTGGGCATCCTTGCCCTCAGCAGGTGCCTGCAGTTTTTCCTCCGGCACTGGATCCAGGTCTGGCACTTTCTGTCCTGTCTTGGCAACTGTGAACCTGCTCATGTGCAGGGCTTCTTCATAGACTGGAGGGGTGTCGGATGCCGAGAGGGGTGGCGTTCCCTGCGCAGCAGCATGAGAGCGTGCCACCGCCAATATCCTCCTGGCAGCGGGTCCAAACACAGAATGGAGAGCTGAAAGGGAGAAGAACAAAAGCCATTTGCCTCATCCTGGAAAGCACCCTGCAATTAGAAGACAAGTAGACCCGCAGCATCCAGGCTCTCCTCTCCCTGAATGTTTTTATTTTCCTGCCCCTTCATCCTTCCTGAAAAAGGGAGGTATGTTAAAGCCCATCAGCAACATCCTGCAAGTACTCCTTCCTCAAATGCCACCGAGGCCTGTAGCTGCCCTAATTCCACCCAAATGTGTCTCAAAGCTGATTCACCATCTGGCTGCATCTACTACAAGAAACCTGGTGAGCGCCTTGGTTTGTACAACATACAGATCCCAGTTTCATAGAATCATAGAATCATTGAGGTTGGAAGAGACCCTTGGGATCATCGAGTCCAACCATCTACCCTACTCTACAAAGTCCTCCCCTACACCATGTCCCTCAGTACCGCATCTAAACGTCCCTTAAACACAGCCAGGGATGGTGACTCAACCACCTCCCTGGGCAGCCTATTCCAGTGCTCTATCACTCTTTCGGTGAAAAATTCTTTCCTAATGTTCAATCTAAACCTCCCCTGTTGGAGCTTGAAGCCGTTCCCTCTCGTTCTATTGTTAATTACCTGTGAGAAGAGACCAGCCCCAACCTCTCTACAGTGTCCTTTCAAGTAGTTGTAGAGAGTGATGAGGTCTCCCCTCAGCCTCCTCTTCCTCAAACTAAACAGTCCCAGCTCCTTCAGCCGCTCTTCATATGATTTGTCTTCTAGGCCCTTCACTAGTTTCGTTGCCCTCCCCTGCACTCGCTCCAGCACCTCGATATCTCTCTTGTATTGAGGTGCCCAAAACTGGACACAATACTCGAGGTGTGGCCTCACCAGTGCCGAGTACAGGGGCATAATCACCTTTCCCCGCATCCTGCCGTGAACATCCCTCTGCCATGCCCCGGGGTGCCACAATCTGGGCGTTTTACAGTGCAGCCCCTCACGTCGGGGTGTGCTGAGGTCCCCCGGCCTCTGTCAAAGCCTGTTACTCACAGGTGATGGTGCTCTGGAGGGTGCTGTCATGATCAAAAGCAATGACGGTGACCTCGTAGGGCTGAGGACCCGATTCCTCCCCTGTCTGACGGCAATGAAAACAGCATCTCACACAGACAGAAACTAGGCCACACAGGAGCAACAGCCCACCAATCACCACCACCAGCCTGGAAAAGAGAGAGGACACAGAATTAGGACAGAAGTTTATTTGCAGGGGACATTTTAAGGTCTCTCCCTCCTTGAAGCAGGCCTAACCTTAAAGCCAGACATGATCATTTGGAGCTTTGTCCAGCAGAGTTTAGACAGTCTCCAGGGATGGAGATCTCGTGTCCCCTCCATGCACCCATTCCAATGCTGCACCACCCTTGGGGGAAGCATTTTTTTCCTTCTGTCTAATCAGAATTTCCCTGGATGCAGCTTGGGCAGTTGCCTCAGGTCCTTCTGTTGGGCACCTCTGAGAAGACTCTGGCTCTATCTTCTCTATAGACCCACTTTAGGTAGTGGAAAGCTGCAATCAGGTTGCCCGATTAACCTCCTCCAGGCTGCACAAACCTGGTCCTTTCATCCCCTCCTAATACATCATGTCCTCTGGACCCCTGATCATTTCATTGGCTCTCCGGTGAACTTGCTCCAGTTTGCCAACATCTCTCTTGTACTGAGGCACCACAACTGGACTATGTATTCAAGATGTGTCCTCATGAGTGACAAGCAGAGAGGAAAAATCATATCTCTCGATGCACTGGCTATATTCTTATTAATGCAGCCTTGCAGGTGTCAAAAAACTACCATCCTTTTTAATCTCATCTTGTTGAGAATTACTAAAGAATCAGACTGAAATTACTTAAAAAAATGGGCCTTTCAAAAGGCATATTGTGCCATGAATGCTTTAATAATATTGTTCACCTGACTAAATTAATATGTGGAATAAAACAGGAGGCTGGCAAGTCAATGTTTGTTAAAGGTGATGCGATAGCTAAGGGGTTGCCTTGCTACTGTAGAGCATTAGTGTCCCAAGGGAAAATGGGTGGTGGCATCACACTTGAGCAGGTCACATTTAATCCCCCTTTTTGCTACTGAATTTGTCCAGTGGTGTAGATATTTAAAGTAAGCATATACCATCTTACCAGATATACCACAAACGGTTCCACTCCGTACCTGAACAGCTGAGGAGAAGAGGAAGCAACATACAGTTAGCCACAGAACACTAAATAAATGGGAAGATCCCTGCTGTATCCTCTTCCAGCTCCCCTCATGCTCCTCAATTATACACCGGCTTCTAAATGGCACAATGATGAGAAACTCACTGTGCTTTGTGGAAGAGACACTTGTCCAACCTCACCAATCTCCCTGTTAGGTGAGTGTGCCTTGTCTTTGGCTTTATCTCTTTATTGCTCCCCTGATATTTGTGCCTGCCCCATTCTGTTTGCAAACCTCAGGGATACGCATCATGTTATAATTTCCGAACTTCCCTTCTTTTATATATATTTTTTCACAATTTAGTCTGCCCAATCCTGTTACCTTTTGCTTTGTTTTTTTTCTGACTTTCTCTTTGATCCCTATCTGGCCCTGTGAGTCCATTTTGGATGCTGTGTTGTATGTTCCTTTAGTTTTACTTAGTAGACCTGTCTCTGCACTTTTAAAGGTGCTTTTTTTAGTCAAAAAAGAATCCTCCTTGGCAATTTTTCATATTTTCTTTGTCTTGATTTCTGTTATTCTTACAAATGACATCATAAAGAGGAATATTTACCAAAGCACTATATTTCAAATAATTTTTCAAGGAAAGTCAATTCCAAATTTATAATCTCAGTCACTCAAAATTACACCAGAAAGTTCTTAACTGTTACAGTTATCCAAATAGGTAGCAGGAACAGTACCACGTGAACAGTATATTGAATAGATAGTAAATAATACACTTCACACTCAAAGGAACAGAAATTTTATCTGAGTTTTCCACAGTCGCAATTAAAGTAAGCTTTTCTGGAAAATGTCAGCCACCATGTCAGAACATTGATGTCTACTACTGCCTTTGTCCTTCAGTGTCGTCTTAAAAGAGCGCAAGACCAACCAATACTTACAGTTCGGTGTTAAGACAGCCTTCCTCGCCTCTCACTTGGGAGAACTAGAAGGAGAAAACCAAACAAGACACAGCTAGAGTGAATTAAGTCTTTGTCATCTGCAACTTTTGTCTCTGGTTACCTGGACTACTACCAGTCTCAATCTCCTACAGTAAGCACTTACTGTTACCTATTTTCCATCGTTTCCATCATAAATTCTGCTGTAGATTTGAAGTTACTGTGATTGTTTCGTATCTTCTGGTAGTCATTAAAATCCTACTTAGCAGCATTCCTAGCACAGACTCCAACTTACCTTCAGCCTCACCACAGCGGTCCCTTTCCCCACCAGAAAGCTATGTCAATGTTACAGATGTAGACCCTTCTCCATGCTAAAATATTAAGAACCTTTAAATGTCCTGCTTTGTATTTTACCCAAACCAATTTGAATTCTGCTCAGTTCCTCCAGCACTCCTACCCTTCTCACTCCTTTTCCTTGGGTACCCTGACCTCTGTGTTACCATCCGTGGAATAGCAGCAAATATTATTCTCTTCTGCATATCTGCCTTTTCTATGCCCAGTTCTTTCTAATATCAGTGAAATTATTGTGACTGTCAACTGCTAATGCCCCTCCATCTTTCCAAGGTAACTCCATGACTGAGGGGAGACCCCATAAAAAGGAACCTGACTTACCCATAAGAAACACCCTAAAGCAAAGCAGATCATGACTGGGCAACGCATCCCTGTAGAGTGGTTCTGTGGCCTCTTGGTGTCTCAAGCAGCTCAATGTCTTCTTGTCCTTCCTGGTTTCAGTTCATCCTCACTAAGTCCAATGACCATCAGAAGGAGCAGATTCCTTGTTGTGTGTCGAATCCAATCTCTTCTTCCCACTCTGCCTCCTTCTGTCCACCTCTGGGTCTATCCTTCTTCTTCGCCCTTTAGGTTCTTGCTTTCTCTCATTCCCTCTTTGTCACTGGCAATTCCTGTTCGTTTCTGCCTGTCTCCTTTTGTTATTCTCTTGGCCTGCTTCTCTCCCCCTTTTGAAGGGTTCTCTAAAGCCTTCCAGTCAGATCAGGAGAAAAGCGGTGGCTACGAGTTCTTACTTTAGATGTTGAACTAGTTCAGTGAAGGGCATCATGAGATCTCTGCAGACCTAACTGTTCCCTTCTGTGAGCAGAAAGGGTCTCCGAGTTTGTTGATTCCCAGTTATTCCTCTCCCCGCCCCTACCCTGAGGGGGATGCATTGAAGGTCATGTTACTGACCTGTTTAAATGGAGTTCAGATGTTCTCTCCCTCCTACAGCACCTTTTCCACCCCTGCACTCACATTGTCCTGCCTCTGTGGATCCAATCTCTTTACTTTAGTCATATGATCAACATCCAGAGTGTATGTTACAAGTGAGATGTTCCTGCTGAAGTGAAAGAGGTTGCAGCAGAATAATTATATACAGCATTGATATATATATATAGTTATATGTATATGTCTATGTGTATGTATATATGAATGCAACACATATGCACACATATATGCATAAATATGTATGCATATGCATATATATGTGTATATACTTATGCAACACCTCTTGTATCTCCCATTTTAAGACTCTGCCACCATCCCTCTTACCTGGTTGTCTCCTGCTCTGCCAGTCCTGCAACTGACAGCCTGCCCACTCACAGGTCCTACTCCAGAACTTCCTGCATGGCCAGTCAAGTCCCCCTAAATGCTTTGCATCACAGGGGATACATGCTGATTCCCCTATCCTGGATACCCTTTGTCCCGCAGCTGGTTATACTAGTAGGTTCCATTCAACGACCCATTAATTTTCTCTCTCTCTTGTAGAACTACTTAAGATTTCTGTTACTGCTTGTGGCTATTCAGAGTGTTATTACACGCATATAATTGTGTTCACCTTCTCTTTCTCTTTTGAACAGCTGAGAGAGAAAAAAGTGCTATGCAGCAATGTGTTACTATTTGTGTTTGGGAACCACCTGGGACTGGTGCATAAATATATGTTAAGGGCAAGATGGTAACTAGAGGAACTTGCTGCCCCATGTTGCAATCGCAATGCAGTCACATTAAACTGGTGAATCATTAGCTTTGGTGATGCATATTAGAGTTGCAGAGCAGAACCAATGGATTCATGAACATAATGTGTTCTCCCAAGGCAGGCTGAAAACCGTTTTCCATTCTCTAATTATAAAAGTAGTGGTGCACTATAAACATGGAATAGAAGCATGCACTTTTTATTCTATCTATCTATCTATCTATCTATCTATCTATCTATCTATCTATCTACCTACCTACCTACCTACCTACCTAACCTAGTCTGCTACTGGAAGAAGCTTTCTGAGTCCTGGTGGACAAATAAGAAACATAGAAACATGAGCTATCAGCTTTGTACTTATATGAGAATTGCCCAGTATTCTTTTTGTCTCCTTCTCCTTAAATTCTTTTGTGTATTACAGGAGTTTTAGAAGAAAAGACGCAGCAGAACTGTGAAATAGCCTTTCTCGTATGTACGGCTTTTAAAACCAGTGGGATTCAATGTGGAAAAGAAATACAATTTACGGATGTTTTTCAGGGGCTTTTTACTATCAGTGTGATAATTCAATAGTTTATCACTTGATTTTTAACTGAAATTCAGTTTCCTGATAATTTCAAATTCTGGAAGGATCAAAGTGGAGAGATATCAGATAAAGTGATTAAAAATTTCTTTAAAGAAAAAGCAGCAGTGTGACACGAAGCTGTGACCCCTCCAAAAGCATATCATAAGCAATTGTTGCTGAAACATATTGATCATTCTTTTTCTATTTCTATGGCATTGCCATTAATACTGTGCTTCCCCTGGTATTTTGCCCCAATTATCCCAGTATTTTATTTTTCTTTGTTTGATGCTATATTGAAGTGACTTTTCTCTTTCATACTTCCCCCTTGCCACCTTTCAAAAGGTGATCAGATTCTTTGAAGGAGTATTCCATAAAGCTCACTTGATTAATCATACCTAATATTTCCCCTGGGCATTTAGAAGTGTAAACTATGGGAACACGTTTGGGGCTCACAAGGATCCCTGATACTTTTGCAGGTGTAGTATAACATTATCAAAGCTTTCATGTATTTTTTTACTGCATGATGGCTATCCAAAAGGGCTCCATTGCTTGTAAAGCAAAACCAGATCATTATTGAATAAACTGTGCATAAAGAAGCAGAGCACTTCTCTCCCACATTTCATGCTCTTTCCACTGAGAACAGAAGAATTCCCCTTGACAGAAACGTGGCAGAGGGTTCAAAAGCATCGGCTCATTGGAGACAGGGTAAAACACTGTAAGAACCTGACAGAAAGACAAGATGCCTCAAAGCTCACTTGCCGCAGGACTTGTGTCGCCAGTGTCCTGATAACAAAGAATGTACATCCTTGGTTCTCAAAACAACTGTACCCTCTGCCCTGAAAACTTGCCTGCCTTGCAAGGCCCAGCAGAGACAAGGGGGGCTCATGCAGCAACCGTGTCGGACAATGGTTGGATGAGCACAGGTCACTGTCACATTGATTGGTCAAACTACGAGTCAACAGGAACTCTAAATTACCGTTATACCCCACTGCAGTGGGGACCCCTCACCACCATCCACCCTTGCCATTGCAAAGGCCTGAGAATCGCGGATCAATGGGACGCCGTTGACTCCAGAGGGATCATCAAGCCGTGGTGTGGACCCATCATGGTGGTCATATATTATTTCTTGCAGGAAGGACATGGACCTGGTGGAGTGGGTCCAGAGGAGGGCCACAAAAATGATCAGGAGGTTGGAGCACCTCTGCTACAAGGACAGGCTGAGGGAGCTGGGGTTGTTCAGCCTGGAGAAGAGGAGGCTCCGGGGAGACCTAACAGCAGCCTTCCAGTACCTGAAGGGGGCCTACAGGAAGGCTGGGGAGAGCCTGTTTACAAAGGCCTGTAATGACAGGACAAGGGGCAATGTCTTTAAGCTGGAGAAGAGCAGATTTAGACTGGAGATTAGGGGCAAGTTCTTTACTGTGAGGGTGGTGGAGCACTGGAACAGGTTGCCCAGGGAGGTGGTTGAGGCCCCTTCCCTGGAGATATTCAAGGTGAGGCTCGATGAGGCCCTGGGGCAACCTGGTCTAGTTGGGGGTGTCCCTGCTGACTGTGGGGAGGCCGGACTAGATGACCTTTGGAGGTCCCTTCTGGCCTAGACAATTCTATGATTCTATGATTTTTTCACTGCTAAGATAAATGTAAATGCCTTCTGCCCTGTACCCAGGGAGCTTTGATCTCCAGCAACCTGGTGTGGGCAAAACCCCATGTTAGACGTGGTGTTGGGGGATTATATTCTGTGCTGTCTGGTGCTCATCCTTGTTCCCAAGTTCAACAGCTGGCGAGACCAGCTGTTCCCTACTGTGTGCAGTAGAGCCATACGAAATAAAAGCCTGAAAGTTCAGGTCTCATTCCTGTCATTTTGCCAGCAAACCTGGAAATATCAGGAAGCATAGGACCGGTTAAGTTTCTTCTCCATCTTATTCCTAGTGCTCAAAGTTCAAGAGAGCGTGGTGCAGGTGTTCCAGCTGACAGGTGACTCCTCCTTGGATGCAGCCCCAGTGCGATGGCAAGCTGCTGTGCTCTGTTAATCATTCTTGATAAAAGGCAGGGATTATCACGCGTGACTTTGCCTAGACTGCTTCCAGGCCTAGTCTGGGAGCACAGCATGATATTTAGGTACATGAATTTTCTCTCCAGACTCCCCACTAATTCAGCAGATTTCTTCATCCAATTCCCTTTTACAGTGCAGACCTACCTGGAATGTCAACTGGGAAACCTGGATTCATTTCTTTGTGTCCCAGGAATGGGCAATGTCAGTGACAAGTCGCTGTCCTACCCCATCAGAACAAGTGTGATGGGCTTATAAGCAATAAGCAAAAGGGATCCGTGTGTTTCTCACTTTATTTTACCTCCAATCCTCCTGTGTTCCTTGAGAGATCAAGGAGCCCTTCTGGCCGAATGTATTGAATGTTAATCACCATATAATAAAGCCAGGGAAAAAAATCTCCCCTGCTGCTGAAAAACTTCAAGGAATTGTTTAGACTTAATCCAAAACAAATGTAATTTCCTCTTCGCCTGTCCCCTTCCTTCTTTTTCTTTATACAGAAATGATATACTACCAGATTGGGTAACTCTATGCATCTGTTCCAGGAACTGAGAACTGTGAGATATCCATGTCCCGTTGCATTTTTGCACACACGGGAGGTTTAAATACTGTTCTGGGGCTTTGCTGCATGTAAACAACCCCAAGCATCGCTTTGTCATGAAATCCTTTAGTATGAGCCAAAAATCCCTTCTGACTTCCTCATGAATCACTCTGCTCACTCCCAATGACACTGACCGTCTGTTTGATCCCAGCCAGCACCTCATCCCCATTTCTCCTGTGGGAGTAACCAAATTGTTGAATTTTTCTCTAACCTTGCCAGAAATGACAGGTGAAGAAGTGACATACGCAGACCTGAGGTTCACGACACTGGAAAAATCCCAGGACCAGGAGCTCCAAACTGCCAGAGCGAAAGGTAGTGCTGGTGTTGGGGGGCAGTTCTCTCCACGGCAAACTCTCACCTTGGGGAACATTTCTTTATGTCACACTCTGAGGAGGATTTCACCTACCAAGAAGCATCTGGGTTTCTGGGAGCCCTTTGGACTCAAATCTTTTAAGAAATTGGAGGGAGAAAAGGAAAAAGGCAGGAGATTAAGAAGAATGGAAGGGTAGAGAATGTGGAAAAACTCTTTAGATTTGAGAGGATAGATATAATTAAGGTTGTGGGATGCAGTTAAGTAAAAGATAAACACTTTCCAGTTAGACATTAAGTGTCAGCTCCTGGAATTTGGCGAAGCAATCTGCCTAAGGCACCTTGCAAAAATCTTTCAACTTTACTCATTTAAATCTGACTAACAGAACAAAGTAAAGGGAAGCTAGGGGGAAAGTATGTTTTCTCTCAAGGGAAGGAATAGATGGACAAATACCTTTTTGTACTTAAAATCATAATAATTATGCTACATGGCTTCACAGAGGAAGGGAAGAATGTGGCTGATCCCAAATCTATATTCTTTATGCTATGCATTAGTGCTTTAGAATTGCTCTCTATGAAAGGTTGTAGCAAAGCAAAAAGAGGTTTTTCTTTTCCACCCTGACTAAAAGCTGGAGATTAATTTGATAAATTTGACAATCATCTAATAGATTAAAGAGCTCTTTCTGAAGGAATTTTTCCCTTATTACAATAATTTGATTCTGACTTTTTGAGGGATCCTTGAGTTTTATACTTGGAGCCTGAAGCTGAACTTACCAGTAATGTAGCAGAGTTTTTTCCCTTTAAAGCTCCTGCCTAAGCTAGTGTTCACAACTTGCTGACTTCCCAGCCCCCAACTCCTAAGGAGGACTGGCCACAGCCAACTGATGGGACAATTTTCATCATGCAATACCACACACCAGTCTGAAACTCAGCAATTCACTGAGCAGACTATTAGTCCTGTTGTCTTGTGCAAGGCAGGAGCTGAAGATACCAAGATGAGAGGTTCCTGTTGTTGCTGCTTTTCTTTCTTTTTGTCTGTCTCAGATTCCCTTAGTCCATCTTCCTGTTGGCGACTGGCTACAGTGACACTTGGGGTCTTCTGCCTCAGTTCAGTGGTAGCTGCAGGAGTCTTGGCTGCCAAGTGTAAGTATGGTCATGGAAGGGGTGCTCAGAGTTCAGTATGAACAACTAAAAGCCTAGGAAATTAGTTAAAGGAAAGGATTAGCCTAGGGGATTAATGATGCAAAGCAGTGTCCCTTGCTGGAAGAGTTTATCTACTCAAGAGATCCTCAGTCTACTGGAGATCCAGTCTATCTGGAGTTATCTACTCCAGATCTCCAGAAATTGGGATGTCTTACATCTTGCTCACAGGTGTGCACAAACTGTATGTGGGTCGAGTATATTCAGTCATGGGGAGGTACGGGTGTCTTTGGCAAGTTTATTCAGGTTGCATTGACCAGTTTAGCTTTAATATTAACAGAACAATTTCCTTCTTGTTTCCCTGTGATTCAAGTCATCCTGGTCTGCCGTCTTGTGCGTGAAAAGGACGAAAACTTCACCCTGCAAAAGGCAATTATGGAAAGCCTCAACCAGCAGCTGGAACTCCTCCAGGCTCAGAATTCGAATTTGACAGAGACTGTAAAGCAACTTGCCAGCTCCAGAGGTACATGGTGGTGGGAAGATGGTGGTTCCATTGCGTTATGGAAGATGGATCAATCACAGATTGATTTTTTTTATATATCAAGAATGTTGGAAAGAAAAATCAAAATGTCTAAAATTGCCCTGAATTATTTAATTTAAAAACAAATTTAAACTGAATCAATCAAAATGCATTTCCATTTTGATCATTTTTTAAGTAATAATTCTTCTGAAGTGTGTTTATTGGATTTTTGTAATGGTTATATATTGGTTTATATATTGGTTATATATAAATGGTTTATACCCCAAACTAAACATTTTAATTCAGAAAATAGCATGATGACGACACCTTTTTTTTAAATATGTTTCTAATAGGTAAATTCACTGATGCTACCATTCCATCTTTCACAGTCAATTTCAGTGAATTGTAAAAAAAATTTGATGGAAAATTCCTAATGGCTTTAATTGTCTGGAATGCTTTGACTCCTCAATACAACTTCATTCTGTTATGCAGTAGTGGATGCAGCAGTGTAAATACTGCTGGGCTTTACCAAATGGGATTGTAATCACCGGTTCCAACAATTTATGGACTATATGCTGAGGGTATTTTCTTTTTCTTATGCAAAATTATTTTGTGAAACTTTAATGATGGATGAGCTGAGTGTGTTAGATTGTCATATAGCAAAGAGAATTATAATAAGTTAACATCTTGTGAGAGAGCGGCAAGGTTATCTATGTACATTTTCTGCATTTGAATTTAGCACAAACCAGAGTATAGCAAAGAGAATTTTGTGAGAGAGTGGCAAGGTTATCTATGTAATTTTTCTGCATTTGAATTTAGCACAAACCAGAAGCTTCTTGTAAGAGTCAAGTGCACTGTGCTGTCTATTGCCATCCAGGGTCAAGTCCTAGCATTCCCAGCTGGCACTGGTTTGTTACAGTATATAATGGTCCTGCAAACTGTAGAGCAACAAACATGATATACCCTATAGTTGGGACCCGGTTCCCAGAGATTTCAAAATATTTTATCTGGCAGGTCTTTTTGCTGCTTGCAGTTATTTCTGTTTCCAACTAGAATTTCAGTTCCCCAACAGCGGCAAGCACGAAAGAAAAATCCAACATTTTGAGTTCTTCCTTGATTCAGTATTACCCGGGGTCCCAACAGGTAACTAACAGAATAAAGTGGCAGAAAAGAGTCAAAGTGCAGCTCTCGGAAAGGTGTTTTTCTTTAACAGCAATGGGCTCATAATCTTTCACTTTGGCTGGCCACCACTATCTGATGCCTGCACGCTGCAAGTATGAAATGTTATCAGAGAAGTTAAATTGTCATAAAACGTAAAGCAGGGGAGAGATGGCCCTAATGTTAACAAGAAGTGAAAAGTAAGTTCACATGAATAGACACGTACCATATGACCGAAAGCCTAGGCTTCCTTTCTTGTCCACCTAGATCTGTGTTCTCTGAACATAGCTCACCCTTCCAAAATTTTCTCGGTTTGTTCTTTTACTAGCACCCTCCAGGTTCGCAGGTCAGATTCAAAAGATCTTTATTATTTGGTTTTCTCATTTAGAAGTGTTTTTCTCATCTTCTGACAACTGGGTTTCTTAGGTCTCCAACGAAGACATGAATTCAGGTGCAGAACGAAGGAGGAATTGTTGCTCCTCTGTGATGGAGAACATGTGCATTGCTCTAGTGATTCTGCAGGGTTTCTCTAGTAGAGACTGCCATCACTGACAGACCTGATCAGGCAGTCTTTTGTTTTCCAGGACATAAATGTATTCCTTGTCCTGAGAACTGGCTGCAGTATGGGGAGGACTGCTATTACTTTTCAAAGGAATGGAAAACTTGGAAGGAAAGCAAGGCTCAATGCTCTGCCCTGGAGTCCAGATTTCTCAAGATAGAGAGCAAGGAAGAGCTGGTAAAGGTTATTTTTTTTTCTTTCTCTCTGTCTTTAATTATACACTCTGCATTTTGATGTGGCCTGAGCAGCCACTCTTCTGCTGGTGCCTGGTGCTATGGTATGCTGTGGCATGCGTGGGATGGACCAAGTGGCAAAAACTGTCCATCCCCCTTTGGACCCTCTCTACTGGTACTTTGGCTACATCTTCCCTGCTGCATTTCTGCTGACTTCAGGGGAGTTATCTGAGACACACCATCTTGGGTCTACATCTAGACCCTTGTCCCACCTCAGGGCAAATGTTAACTGTGCTAGTACTAGTTGGCAACTCTTCTGTTGTCTTGCTGGAGCAAACTAGCAATCATCAGAAGCCTGGCTGTCAGTTTCTTGCTGTCCACAATTAGAAAGCTTGCTGGCCTGGCTTGCCCCCTGGCTTCTTCTTCCACATGACAAGAAGAAGATCCATATCTTTTTCTGACTCCTATGTTGTAGATGAAGCAGCGGATAAAGCACGGCCATAAGAGCTCTTCACTGTGAAGGAATTTCTACTCAAACTCTTAATGGCAAGGGGATTATGTCTTGCACCCTGTGGTTTTATTGTCTGTGTTTTGAATTTCTTGTGTAAAATGATAGCAAATAATGCAAAGGCCTTTTCCTACCTGACTTACGCAACCAGGGTGTTGGAGGGAAGTCATTATCCTATACCCATCTAACTTTTGTTAGACATGGCACTTCAAGGCATGCTCTAGTGCCTGAGACTGTTGGGTTGGGTTTTTGTTGTGGTTTCTTGTGTATGGTTGGACTCGATGATCTCAAAGGTCCCTTCCAACCATGAAGACTCTGTGATTCTATGGTTATCTCGATACTGCTGAGAACTACTGAATGCTCTCAGCAGGTTCATTTTCCCTGTCTCCAAAACGGCACTGACTGCCAGGAGTAGGAGGCACTGCCCAAATTCACTTGTGAAATAAAGTCTGTTATGCACAGGTGTCTTCTTTTCTAAATCTTAAGCTGTTATGAGTGAAGCAGGGGTGTGAGTCACAGGCTGTGCACTTATTTCCGTACAGGGCTTCATAATGCGATCAGCACAGTCCTACAGCTCTTACTCTTTCTGGATTGGGCTGTCTCACAATGGAACTGAGGGGCCCTGGCTGTGGGAGGATGGATCAGCTTTCTCCCCTGATCTGTAAGTCGCTGCACAGATAGGAGCCGACCATGTCCATGTGTATTTGTTACGAGCCAGAAGCAGCAACCTTTAACCACCACTCAGTAATCTTCCTGTCCCCCTGCCTGTTTGTCAGAAGATGGGTTACCCATCACTCGCTTATCAGCCCCCGTTGGAGAGCTTGTATGCTGTGGGGGTCAAATGGGTAGCAGCACTTGGGAGTTATTCTGCCAGCCTGTGACTTTTCCGTGGGATGATGAACACCTCTGCTATTTTTTCACAGGTTTCAGATCCAACGAGCCAGCTCGAGTCCTTTCCTGGACTGTGTGTGGCTTCAAGGTGCAAACATAGGCACTGCACGGTGTGGCGAGTACAAATTTTGCATTTGTGAGAAAGTGGTGGATCCTGCGGCGGTGGAGCGAGTGAGCTACTTGGACAGGGACTAGTCTGCAGGGCTGTGTCCTGGGATGCACAGTTGTCAGGGCAAGTTCTGCCCCAGGGAGATTTGTGATAGGGGGTTGTGATAGGGAAAACGTGTCTGAGCTCAGGGTAATGTAACACCTAAGCTTAACCAGCCCTCTGCTGATGCACATCAGCAAGACTCCTTCTTGAGCTTCTTGAGCTTTTTCTTCACGTTCCCTCTTTGTTCTTTCAGCCCTTGCATCCTTGTGTAACCGCTTCTACCCACTTCTCATTAAATGCAAAAAAAAATATTAAGTTTATGATTCCATAACTCTGTTTTACAGCTTCATACCCATCTCCCAGAAACAGTAATCAATGTCAGCTTGTAAGAGCAACACATTATGTTTTCAAAATTGGGTATTTACAGGATGTGAACTGCCAATTTACAATACATTTCTAACTATTTCTTTTAATTTAACTCCCCATCTGCCGATAATTAGACAATGCAACAGAATCAGAACCTGAACTAAAAGAAAAATAAAAATATGTCTAGTTCTCCTGGTTAGAGAAAAAAGCTTTCAAATGGGACTGGATGCCTACGGGCTGAAAAAACAGAAGGCAAATACACAATGCATCTTTATTGAGGAAAGTCAGCAATATTTAAAGCCCAGGGATGCCAGCATAGCTGCTAGTGGATTGTTCTGCTGCAACGGGCATTAGTGGGGAAGGCATTCCTCCAAGACATATGTCTTGATAATTATCCATGTCACGTTGGATCCAGTTCTTTGATTTCTCAAATCCATTTTCCCTTCTGTTGCACAATTTCACAGGTGGAATAAATATTGCTGCTACTGACCTTTTCTGTAGTGTGTGTCTTTTTCGTAAGTCACTGTGCACGGTAGCCTCAACAACCATCAAATGCAGGGCCCTTGCCAACGCCAAGCCTCCTGCTGCTTCACTGCTGTTTAGGAGGCTGTTGAAAAAGAAGACTGCATCAGAGAGAGCATCTCTCTTCTATGGCATTAGCAAACAATAGAGATTTTTGAAATCTCTCAAAACCAGTCAAGTTTGTGATTGGGACTTCTATTCCTGTGTGTATTTTGTACTGATTTGAGGCATTCAATGGAAATCAAACTGTAAGTTGGGGAAGGTGTGGAGGCATTTAGGCAATCTTCTAATTAAGTAAGTTTATTCCAGACATAAAGCTGTGCATAGGAACTCTGCAGTAGCAACAGCCAAGTGTGCTGCACCCCTCACTAAATGAGTGTTTAGTAATACGGCGATTATCTTAATTACGGATATGAAGAAGTAATTTAGAGGAGCAGGGACAACAGAGTGTCATGCCACACAGCTATCTCACAGTCTGGAAATGCTGCCTATTCTAAGTCTAAGCCGTGGAGATACTACCTGGGATCCCAGCACTGACTGTTCTACAGGAGATGCAGGTACAACATGAATGGTGTGAGGGGTAATCCATGCAGGGCTGTTGTTCTAACACATGCAGGCCATGGTGGGAGGCCCCATCTTACAACCCTTGATAATGCAAGAGGATCTTAAAGATCACACCATGAGAAAGCAGGAGAGCCCTCACTGAGGGGCATGGTATGAGGAGGAGCTGGTGAAGAGCCGAAGATCTTGATGTGAGGGAACTGGTGGGATGGGCATGGGCTCAACGGACCAGTGAGGGGAGCATTGCTTGATTGTAGGGGCCTGTCTGAGGGAAAAGTGTTTCATGGGGAGAGCACTGGTATTATGGACCATTGCTGGGAGTGAAATGCTGCAGAAAGTGAAGGAAGGAAATGATGAATGAAAGTCTGCTCTTCTGTATTGTGTTTGGGAGGAAAATCCATTAGCCTGTCTTGTCCCCATCCGGGGCATGGAGGATTGGCCCCTGTGCCTGCCTGCTGAATATTCATGAGCTCAGGAACTTATGAAACAAGGGGTAAGTTCCTGTTCCTTATTGCTGTCTGGATTTTTTCATTTTATACCACCTCTTCATGCCTCAGTGACTCGTAAATTGAACCACCACCTGATGAGCCAAGTTGCACAGAATAGAAGAGCATGGCATCCAGTAATTGCCCTGAGGTGTGCAGTGTTCAACCTGCTACTCTGTTTGTTTAATAGCTAACGCCGAATTTCCTTGGTATGCAGCATAAGTCAGTTCTTGAATTTTGGCTTAAACCAGAGGAGAAACATTTATACTTGTACATAAGATGATCACTAAGTCACAATACAATAATTATTTTAACAGATGTCATATTTTTTTGTTATATGAGTTTAAAAATGTTCAGAACTTCAAAGCAATTCAGAACTAAACATCTCCATGCACATATCTTCTGCTCTTTCCCCCTTCCCATAGCCGCCTATGCACATCGGACCATCTTCTCAATCACTCTCTGCGTTCTTCCTGCATTTCTTCTTAACTCCCTTTGAAATGTCCTCTTCAGAAACTTTTCTCAGATTGCTGAGGGTCCATTAAACTAGTTGGTTCACTTGAATCTGCTCTGTGTGCTGAATAAAGGGAATGTTTTCGGAGTTAGAGAAACACTTTTACAACTTAGCTTTGCAAGTCTTGCTAACCATTGCATTTTTGCACAGCTACCTGTGAAGCCTGGTCCTTTGAAATTACTGCAACTTCAATGTTGATTTGTCTTAAGAGTGATGTGATCTCTGCTGTAATTTGGCTGCAGAAAACATGTAAAACTGACAAAGTTCAAAAGGCAGCATGGAGTCGTACTTGAATTGATTTCACTGAGCAATTTCAGAGAATCACAGAATCACATGGGGTTGTGTACTTCAATTGAATTCACTGAGCAATTTCACAGAATCACAGAATCACATGGGGTTGGAAGGGACCTCTGGAGATCTAGTCCAACCCCCCTGCCAAAGCAGGTCCACCCACAGCAGGTTGCACAGGAACGTGTCCAGGTGGGTTTTGAATGTCTCCAGAGAAGGAGACTCCACCACCTCCCTGGGCAGCCTCTTCCAGGGCTCTGCCACCCTCACAGGAAAGAAGTTCCTCCTCCTATTTACATGGAACTTCTTATATTCAAGTTTGTGCCCATTTCCTCTTGTCCTGTCCCTGGGCACCACTGAAAAAAGACCGGCCCTGTCCTCTTGACACCCACCCTTTAAGTATCTATGAGCATTGATCAGATCCCCCCTCAGCCTTCTCTTCTCAAGACTAAAAAGACCCAAGTCTCTCAGCCTCTCCTCATAAGAAAGATGCTCCAGGCCCCTCATCATCTTTGTAGCCCTCTGCTGTACCCTCTCCAGCAGTTCCCTGTCCTTTTTGAAGTCATACAATGCTCATAGGCAATCTTATAAATGGCAAATCTTATAAATAGGGTTTGTATGACACTGAAAAAGACAAAAAGGGATTTTTTTTTTATAGCCACCACTAGATTCGTAATTAGCTGCTGTCTGTTGTTGCCATAAGGTTTTATTAGCACAGCCAGTTCTATATTCTTGATGTTATACTGTTCACAATGATAAAAAGTCCTGAGTCTATAATTAGCCTTTTCAATTCAATACGACGATCATTAAAAGCAGTGTATAAGCATTGTACCCATGCCACGTTGTTACAAAACAAGTCTTCAGCTCCCAAGCCACTCTCAGTGCTTCTTGGCAAATAATTTCCCTACTGTTCCCAATATGAGTATTTGTCTCAATAGATCTGCCAGACTCATGAGCATTTTTCTTCATAATTCCCATGAGTTTTAAAGAAAAACTGTTCTGCTCACTTAGTTTTCTTCCATTGCTTTCAGTTGCTTCATATTGGCATTTAGCTGCACAAACAGATCATTTCTTAGCAAAGCTCAGAGATGTGACCTCGAATGGAGTATCACAGCTTTACTTTTTAATGAGTTTTCTTCTCTGCATTGTCATGCTCTTTACCTTTGGTGTCAGACAGTCAGTAAACCACCTGCGTCATAAAAACTTAAACAAACCCATGTGGGGAAAAGTGTTCTTACAGCAAAATGCCAATACCCATAATTAGGAGAGAAAATAGATGCGTCTCTTATTTGATGTGGAGACAGAAGCTGCTGTCTTTAAACAGCAGGCCTTGCAAAGTATACTGTAATTTTTCAAGTTGCACAGCCCCATGATATATGAAAAATGATGTTAAATCAACTCTGCTAAGGACTGCCAAGAGAACAAGGAAGCCAGGAGAGAAGCACAATGATTTATTGAATGTATCACAGTATATGCAATTGCGTATTGGGTGCTTTGAGTGAAATATTACATTTTCTGATGTTTTCAATTTTGTTTAAAAAGAGTGTTCGTGTCTTAGACCTAAAATCAAAGTCAAATCTATTTAAAAGTGTGAAGAGAGGGCTTTTTTCTGCACTTGGAGCTGTGCAGAGTCAGGATTTTTGGGAACCTGCCTTTAAACCTATGCATTCAAGCTTGTTTAGTCTAATCTTTTGCCTTCTCTCTAGTCTTCAATTCTCTTTCCATCATAATCTGAACCCTAAACTTTACCTCTCGGATAAAGGAACGAGTTTTAATGCTAAAAAAAGAAGTAAAAAAGGAAGCATTACTCATCTTCCAGTGCTCTGGCTAGAGTCATGTGGGGGTTTCTCCTTTTGCTAAATTAAGATTCCCATCCTATAAATTCAGTAAAAAGAAACTTGTGATTTTGCATTTGAAAACTAAAATGTAGACCTTTGTCTAAATGCTTCCAGAGGAGCCTATTTCTATTTCAGAAATTTGGTCAGTGTTTTGCAATCACACATATTGCCTGTTACCATGAAAACTCACCTTCCCTCCCTGCTCGTCACCATTCTGGAGGCCCACCAGGAAACTGAGCAGGAGGAAATGCTCACTCCTTCTGTAGAGGGTTGCCCTTTTGCTCTTATTTGAAACAAAAATATTCAGAGTTGTGAAATGCTCTCTGGCAGAGAAAGACCCCATCAGTCTGATTAAGCCATCAGCAGCAAAGCCAGTATTTCCTTCCTATTGAGTGTTTCCTGTATTTTATTCCTCTCTTCCTCTTTAGATTTATAGGGCTTTTTTTTTTTTTCAGAAGAACATAGCTAGTAACAGTGGGCATCTGAAACAAACAAACAGACTCAAGTGACATATGGAATTGCAGCACTCAGTTGGAACACGCTTAAATGGGAAAGATGCGCAGGTGGCCTTTCTGGGTAAAACATTTCTTGGAGATGGACAGTCAAATGACCATGCTGAAGTCATATTTGCTGCTATTTATAATGCTAAACTAACTTGAAGGCTTTTCATAGCACAAATTGTGGTGCAGGTATTTAGTAAAATTGTGTAGCTAGAAAGCAATACTTTGTATGAGAAAGTAAATAAATAATTAATATCAACTTGCCCAAAAGACTCAGAAGAAGTCTTACACTCTTTAAAAAATCTGCATTTTGAACCATAATATTACAACCCAAGGAAAGCCAGCAGTTTCTTCTGCTATATAAATAAGACTGTATCACAAATACTACACATTCGTAGACCAAGATGTGTCATTGTTGAATGTGGTGGTTCCAGTTACATCCCTATGCAAAATGCACATAGAAATATGTGTCAATTTTCTAGTGGACATAATATATTAAGTGTCAGAAGAATATATCAAAATACCTTTTCTAATTTGTCCACTCAATTGAGACTTCCCAACATGGAGTAAAGATCTCAGAGTCACTTTCAAACTTGGAACAATAACAAGGGGATTTTTGTAATCAGTGTCCCCACTAAAAAATGGCAAGGATGATTAAACTGAGCACCCCATATGAACATG